GAAAAGCAAAAAAACCCAAAAGTAGCGAAAATACCTCAGACCGTAAACTTGAGACCTGGAAATTCAATTTTTCAGACCCAGTAAGCCTTAACCTTTTAGTAAAAGACTCTCAATAAATATCAGCAGCACAAAAAACAGAACCAGGTACTAAGATAAGAAAATAACGACCCCCCAAAAAACCAAACCAGAACCAAACCAAAACCAAACACAGTATCAAGAAAAGGCACAAATAAATTACAATCAAACTTCAACAACCTGTGCAGAAAGAAAAAAATGGAAAACTTATAAATGAATGCTACAACAAAGAACTATTCAGTGCATTATACAAGGCAAGTACATGTACATGTGAACACTTCATCCTTATCATAACTTAATCATTGGACTCACATGTATATACAAGAAGTCAGGCTGAACTCATGAATAATCATGATGCAATAAACAAAGGACTTGGCCACTTCTTGGAAGGCAGGCAACACTAATCCTAATCTTTAGTCATAAACTAAAATTGCTCCAACCGTGTGTTAAGGCATAGGAAGGGTGAACAAAGAAAACTGTCTTGTCCAAGATACATGTTCAACCACATGGCAATAGAAAAATAAAAAAGTTAACACACATGCCCAAAACTCATGACTAAAATATACAAGGATAAAATGGAAAGGTTAAATCTGTTCATATAACTTCTGGCACTTTAAATCTAAGGCCATAAAAGAAGAAGAAGTTCCAGATCCTAAATTCCTTCCACTGTCAACACCTCAAAACCTCACTACAGTGTATTAGCTTACAAAAACCCATGTTCTCCAAAGTATGGTAACCTCATGTTAGAAACACTTTCCTAAAAGACTGCTTGCAAATGAAATCTAAGAGCAATCCTAGGAACACTTCGATTTGATCTTCTATTGGAAAAACACATGAACTGCTAAAACCAAATAAATTATCCAAAGAACACATAACTTCCTCGAATTAAAATAAACTACATATCCTTCCTAGAATGCACTCAAAAGGGGAAAAAAATTCAAGAAGCCCAAGGATCGGAAATAATGAAACAGCTTATATGGCTGGGCTAATTCTGCTCAACTCCAGGAACTCAGTCTTCTTCTATCTAAGCTAAACTGTAAAGTTTACAAAACTAAACTGTAAAGTAAAAAATGGAACTATTGTAGCATCGGCGGGTTCGGCCAGTGGGGGCGCCAGCTGGAGTTGTCTGGCTGCCCCCGCTGGTATGCAAATGGCCCGCGGTTTTCCCGCCTCGCGCCTGTGCAGTCCCTGCTAGACGCCTCATGTCTAGAGCTTGGGATAGAACACAGTGTTGTTGATGTAAGAGAAATAAAACAGAGATTTCTTGACCAGAACTGCGATCTATAGCTGTGTCTATATTAGCGTCAGAGCCTAATCCGTAGGACACGCTACATTATTTTCTAACGCATCAAAGAGAAAAGGCCAATTTTCTATGCACATGGCTCTTATGATTTAACACAAATGAATAAATGATAATTGACTGTGTAGACTTATACAAAAGTTAGAAACTCACCAAGTCCACTGCAGGTCCTACACATCTTCAGAGCAGACTTTATATACATACTTTATACAGCATCCAAGGAGTATGCACTCCTTGGATGCTGACCAACTTACTGAACAAAGACCCTAAGCATGCCTAGTCATAGAGCTGCATCCCCCTTGTTTGAATCAAAGAATCAAAGGCTAATCTTTTTCTCGTGTGATCTTGAGTTTTTATTTATTTTGGGTACAAAAACCTTTTGTTCACCGATCAAGGGAAGTGAGATTTTTGGAACTGTCTCTGGGCAAGCACTGGCATGTCAAGGTCGGTCCACATGACTGTCTTCATATGCTTTACACACACAGGGTAATCCCACTGAATGTTGGCTTCTCACAAGTAAAACTTGCATGCTTCACAACTTTCAGGTCATCATCACTCTATGAAAAAATTGCAGGATGCCAACAGCAGAACCTAAAGGTCTTAATTTTTTCTCCTTTCTCAATTTAATTAGCACTCATATTGTGCAACATTTCATGTGTAAAACATACCAGTATTTAGAAATTCTCTCTTTCATGCACAAAATTTCAAATTAGCCTTGGTACCCTTCAACTTGGCTGTACTGCCTAAGCTTTTCAGAGGCACTTAAGGCCAACTGGCCTTGCCCTTCAAAATGTTAAGGTTGAAGCCTGAATAATACTGACATTCAAGCAACCACAGAAATTGAAACAAGACAAAATGAATAAGAATAAGAAAGCTAGATATTCTTGAGGATAAGTGGAAACATGCATACGCACCATGTTACCAATCATATTGACATATGGCCCCATGACATTGTTGACACTGCACACATCCAGGAGTCGGACATACCACACCATGACGTCTAGGCAAAAGAACATACGGGCAAAGGGCTGGCCAGCACAATCCATGTTAGACACTGAGCACAACCGCAGGATGAAGCCAGGGATGTAGAGCAAAATGCCCACCAAGTCCCAAACATTCCACTTATCGGAGGCCCACATCTTAATCTTTTGCCACAGAGTGAGGCGACCATGCTCGCCCATCATAAGAACCTGGGAATATGAATAAACCATAGAATAAGGTCATGTCTGCATTACTTGGCTGTGCCTAGAAATTATGCATGAGCATGTGGTAGTGGCCGCAGCCAGTTCCCATAGTCCATTTAATTTCAAGCCATATAGCCAAGTAACTTGGATGCAGCCTATATGACTGATGTCCAACTATAGGTATCCCCCAAGACTGGAGACCTGACCTTCATTTGTGAATATGTGTGTCACAGATCAAAGCTTCTGAATTTGTAAAGTTGATTCCTTTATAAGAGGTCATATGATGTGGTAAATGATGGTCTCATAGTCCCAATCTGTGAGAGCATTGATTTGTAGTGGCCAGTGACCTATTAAACAAGGGTCCAGTTTTACATTGATGTATGCAAGAACAGGGCACTAATGTCCTGCATACAGGGTGGTTCAAATTAAGTGAACCCAAGTTTAAGATGATTGTTCAACCACATCCTGCAGTCCAGAGAACTTGTTTTTACCTTAAGTTGATGAGTAGGGTGTTTGGAATTCATCCTGAAAAAATAGTGGGTCTAGCTCAATTGGATTTCAAGATATCACCCATTACATATGGCATGTACTGTGCAAACTGTTTTGTTCACAGGAGCTTCGTTGCTCATAGGCATAATTGAGCAAAATGAAAACATAAAAAGAGATCCACTTTTGACAGTCATTTTCTTCAGCCTTTAAAAATCTAAAGGTATTTGGCATGGTTTGTCTGAAACATCTGATTTACATGGGACCATTGATGCATATTCATCTATGATAGGCCTGATGATCATCAGAAACTTGTAGTTTTGGCAGCATTAACTGGAAGTAATAGATTCGTTGGATCTGTATTTAGTGATAGCAATTACTTCATTGCAATCAGAAGAATGATTGTGTGGCAGAGCCAGAAATGTTTGTGTTATTAATAAGTACACGTTTTTACATAGAAGTAGTTCCCCTTTAAAAATGTTTGACTTTAGTTTAGAGTTTTTGATTTTTTTTCTAGTAGTGTGCCTCCCTGTTTATTTGTTTAAGCCCCGGCTTCCCCCATATAGAGTTAGGACATGGTCTGGTCACACTCAGTGTAGCAGATCAGCAGAGACCGGTAACCTTCACATGTACCTATGTATTGTTCCTCCTAACTGGAGTGTGGTTTTTCTGCTTTAGCCCTATTCTGCTGGGAGTCAGTGATTGAAGTCTGAGTGTAAACTCATAAGGTCCATTTTACGCATTGTGTTGGGTTTTGGTTTTGAGTCTTTTAAAGTTTTGGTCTTTGGGTGTTTTTTTTAGTCCTTGAGTCCTTTTTGTTTTTCCTGTACTTTTTCATTAATAATTTTTTAATTTGAAGTCAAATATTGGTGTCTGAGTCTTTGTTAATTCAGTTTCCTGCGACTTTTCCTTCAAAGATCCTAGGTTTAGTTAGAGTTTTTGTTGTTTTGTGAATTCCTGATAGTGTGCCATTTTTCCCTGTTACAATTGCAATGAAGAACAAAAAATGCAGTGCAATGCATGCAAGACAGAGCACTCATATGGATTGGAAACTAAAAGCAGCATGTTGAAGACAGAAACTGAAGGTAAGAAAGTCCAATGGACAAGTCAGTTTTGCACATGACATCTAAGGTGATATCTTGAGATATTAAGCTAGACCTACCATTTTTTCAGGATTAATGCCAAACGCCCAACAAGTTCTCCAGATTGCAGGATTTGGATGAACAATCACCTTAAACTTGGGTATATGACTGCTTGAGCATTAAACCCTTTGCTGCAAAGCTGAAAAATAATGTTAGAATTAATCACCCACCTACCAATATCATCTTTATCTGGCCATGGATCATTTCATCAAATCTTAATATTACCATGAATCTTCACTGCTCACCACAGTCACCATCAACGTCACCTTTGTCACTGCAATAGTTAGCTATAGGCAATCTTGTAATTATTGTCACTGTCAATGTCCCTCACCATAGTTCCGTCACAGTGAGAGTGAATAGAGTGAAAGTCACAGCCACTTGATAACCATGATGTTGGTAGTGCCAACTGTCACTACTGTCAAACCCACCTGTCGTAGTTCCTCCATTGCCAAGGTGAATACCGTGCAAGTCACAACCCATTCCACAACCATAATGTCACCCTGCAGGTCAACTAGAACGACGAAGCTGAACATCATCAGGAATATGAAATAGAACAGCTGCAAGAAAATGGTTTAAGCTTGAATAAGTTGAAGTGGCACTGGTATGTTTACACTATCTGTCCATATGATAGCACTCAACAAGGACTACCCATCACTGGTGCAATATCCCTACTCGCTATCCTCAATCCTGGGGGGGGCAAAAAGCTTGAAACTACTTTCCTTTAATATTCCAAACCCTCAGATTGGATATGCGCCATAGAACTACATACTTTTCAATGCGCATTTCCTGAACTAAGCTCGCCTCTCAAAATATATTGACCCTATTACCCACTTGGGTGTGTGAACAGTTATATCGAAAGTGGAATATCGAGGACTTTAATTGTTGTGTGATAAAAGGTCTTTATTTTGGCCAATATGCCAATAAAACAGAAATGGTACCTGCTAAAATGTCAAAATGAACATTATTCCACAACTGAAATTTCCAAATAAAGAGCAAACTTATATTTAGAGTGTCTTCAGCATTGTAACACACTGACTGCTGACTATGAGACAATTAATACTCTAATAGTAATGGTGAATGGGAACTTGCTAATGGTATATGGCAAATGAACAAGTTTCAAATTTGGCGTAAGAATGCACTGGCATGCTGCAAGAAATAAACCCCTCAAAGATGTTTGTGTTTTTATGTTCAATTTCTCATAGATTATTGTTTTCACTTTTCAAATGCAAGTAACATTGGACATATGCAAGGCTTGAAATGTAATTTTACCAACAAAATATGCATTATTTCAAGAGTCATTGAAGGAAGAGTACATTGTTGAAAAAAAAAACCTAAACCACTGCCAATGGACTATCCCCTAAATATCTAGAACGAGATAACTTGGAGATGGCGTAGCACAACACTTAGTTCCAGGCCATTGCCCAATGTATGAGTTACCTCAAGAGGGGAAAAAATTTTAAAACTTTTTTTCCTATCCGGGAAAATGAATATTCATTTCACAAATTGTGAAAAACTTTCCCCTCTGTGGGAACAGTTTTCATAATTTCTTCCCCTTGGTGAAAAAAGAAATTCACAACCTATTTCAGAAGTAGGTAAATTTTTCACACCTTTTTCCCAATGTGGTAAGAATGTTCATACCTTTGTTTAAGAAGTGGGAAAAAACTTTTTTCACGAGTAGGGAAATATTTTTTTATAATTGGGCACTGTTTCTCTGAAACAACCTTTGCACTCAGGTTAACTGTCAGGTTCTTCTTAAACTTGATTACTGTCGCATGATATGGGGAGGCTGACATGAATGTCACAATAATTTACCCCCACAAATTGCTTAAAGAGCAGCTAAACTGATTTTGGAGTGTCTATTGACAACTTCATCTGCAGATATGTTTGCAGCCCTATAATGGCTTTTTAGATTCAAAGAGGATAAATTATAGGAAGGGTATTTTTGTCTTTCAATGTTTAAACACTTAACTCCATGGTTCTCAACTACATGACAGATCTTGTTTCCTATTTAGCACATTACAAAGTCACTAGGCAAAATACAAATGCCACTGTCACAGCTGAATTAGACGGACTAAATATTTTCTTTTTCTTGATTTTCTTCTCTTTTAAGACCATGGTTGCTGTTGGTCACAGTAATCCTAGTTTAACCCAAATTCTGTCTTTCTAAGCTCTCCGGTCTTGTTGTGGAATGCATGGGTGTGCACGAGAGCATCCTTAGTATTTTTTGAATGTAGATGTGTGTATATAAGGTTGGATGGAAGTGGGCGCAGGTGAGATTTGCTACATGTTGCAGTAGAAGGAGCATGGTGTTTTGAGTTCATGCTGACATAGCAATTTTGGTTAGCTTGTGCCATCCCTTGGCTATCGGCACAGATGATTTCGGCTCTGTGAAGTCTTGGGTGTGGCTCGGACAAGCATAGGTCAGCGTGACAACAGTGGTCGTAAGTTACACTCTGTGATTTCGTTATATTGAATTGCTTGGTTGAAATTATGTGGAACTTGATTAATTGTTGCCAGTAAAAGATTACGATTTTGGAAGCTGTATCTGTTTTCTGGTATGGAGTAGTTTGGTTATTTTCCATTCTAGATAGTCTTTTTATGTTGATGTATATGGTCTGCGAAGCACTGATGTCCTTGGGACCCTGCTTGTGAGGCCTGAGAGTAGTTCCGCAGTTACTGTTCCACATTCCGAGTGTAGCTTGTTCCACAGCCTGCAGTCCTTCCTGGAGCCTGATGGTTCTCTACCACATCGTCCTGTCCAAAGACAGAACTCGGACAGCGACTGTTGATGGAATCAGCCGCAACTGCGACAAAGCAACTTTATCTCCCATAAACCCTTCAGTTATTATTTTATAAGGTTTTTAATAATTTTGATAATTTGACAACTTCCCCGACTTGATGATTTCCATGGAAAATGTGCAGTACTTGATTCTTGGTACGTATTCGTTTGCATTGTTGCACTGCCGTTTATTGATTGATGTACTGGTTTCACTTTGTTGTTAATTTATGAGTGATAGTGATTGGGTATGGATTGTTAAATTTATGAATAGTTTTGTTTTGCTTGGAAATTGAGAATATTCTACTTTCATGCAACCTTGACTTTTGTGCTGCTACAAATAACTGGATTGAGTATTGAGAGGGTTAATTGATAGAATGCTGAATTAAAGGACTGACCAGTTGATTTGAATTTTAGACCGAATTTTTAGGAAAAGTTGAATATACTGCTGACAACTGTATATGATGTGAATTAATGGATTTGAATTACTGATATTGATTGAATTGAGCATTTTCCATTAATCTGAGTTGAACAGTATAAAATAAAAACTCGTCAGTTTTAACTTGTTGTGTACAGTTACTTTGAATAAATTAGGTTCACATTTTGTACATATCTCAAATCGGTGTGTTGCCGTGTTGTGTTTGCAAGAGTCTAGAAAAACAGTTGACAGCCACTTACTCCAAAAGTTCAATTGCCAAAACAGATTACTATGCTCAAAGTTTTGCAGTCACTGGTGCAAAGTTTTAATATTCTCTTCCAGCCCGATTAAGAGTGATTAATTCCTTACCTAATTTTAAGAAAGATCTTTATGAACAAAATATGTTAAGATTTTAGCACCTTACTTAAACTTTGGGTTCTAACTGTGTATTATTTCTATTGTTTGTCTTCGTTAGTCCTTTTCATATGCCCTTACGTTTTGATGTTGTCCATTTTTAAGGTTTCTAAATTGTTTCTTTAAGCTACCTCTACACTGTGGTTTTTATCCATTGATCGTTAATTCATTCTGGAACAGCATGACTTTGCTTCTGTTTTTAACCCCATCCCTCATTGGCTTTTATTTCATCTAGTCTTTTAACTTCTATCTTAATCTTTATTCTATTTTAAGTTTTAAATGAGTGTTTGTATATTTAAAATTCAGGGCTCCAATGAAAGCCAGCTTAGACTGTTTGGGTTACCCTGGATAAACAAAGGAATAAATCTCGTAAATAAATCTAACCCCTGGCTAAATTTTTGTGCCACATACTTTGAAAGATATTACCCTGTACATGTATTGTTAGCAAGGTCAAAAGTATACTGTTTATTGTTCTGATTACAGAGAGTGCTCCAAGGAGCAAGACAAGTTTTTGACATGTGAAGTGGCAGTGAATCTGTCCACATCTACTCATGGTGTCTGTCTACAGATAGATCTTGGCCATAGGTGATCCCTTCATGTTAAAAGAGACTAAAAGAGACTAATTAGGGGTCACACAATTACATACCTATGGAGGGTCACATATCTTACCGTATTGATCCAGAACTTGCCTATAGGTGCCACCATGAGTAGCCTTATTTTTTCCAGGAATGGAGCTTCATTTTGGTCATCGGTTGTTGACCCATAAGTACAGTACGGTAGCCGTCGCTTGAATGTTGGCCCTCGGATACCAAGACCCAGTGAGCCAACACTGTGTATGCTATGTTTCCTCTCCCCATTCTACGCATAAGAAAGACAAATCTAGTAACGTAAGTAGCAAACATGCAGGTGACTAGCATCATTTTCATCAGGACAGTCTGTACTTCTTGATATGTATATTTTACAGTAGTTCTTCCCTTACAAAAATGTCCCATGCAGATTGGGACCCCATGTGTACGCCATAGGACTGGCAAAAAAATAATGTTGGTTGACGTGATCACCATTGGACATTTTGTGGATACCATGGGAACACCACGAGGCTTTTATAATCAGCGTGGGAACACCACAGGGCTTTTATGATCAGCACGGGAATATCATGGGGTTTTTATAATCAGCATGGGAACGCCATGGGGTTTTATGATCAGCATGGGAACACCATTGGGTTTTTATGATCAGCATGGGAACACCATGGGGCTTTTATGATCAGCATGGGAACAACATAGGGCTTTTATACTCTACATGGGATGTGATTTGTATGGGACACCATGGAAACGCCACACAAACACTATTCAAATTTTTGCAATCATCAAGAGAACACTGGGATTTGCATTGATATGGCATCTACACAGGTACACCTAGAGGCTTTGTTGTATTGTAAACCACATTAGCTGCTGCCATTAAAATGCAGCATTGGCATGAACTACAGTACACAGTTTGGAATGGAATGTTGATTTGAAGACTGCAACTTTGCCCGTCACCATGAGATGCACAGGACACTCACCATGGGAGGCATGGGTAAATCACCATGGGACGCAAGGAACAATTGAAATGGAACAATCACCACGCGATGCAAGGGACAATCGACATGGGAAAATCACCAGGGGACGCATGGGAAAATCACTATGGGATGCATGGGACAATCACCATGGGACAAATGGGGCAACCACCATGGGACAAATGGGAAAATCACCATGGGATGCATGGGACAATCACCATGGGCCAAATGGGGCAACCACCATGGGACAAATGGGAACATCACCATGGGATGCATGAGAAAATCACTATGCGACACAAGGGTAAATCACCATGGGACGCATGGGTAAATCACCATTGGATGTGTGGGAAAATCACCATGGGATATGATAATTAAATCACCATGGGAATATTTTGGGAGATTACATGGGGTTCTTGAAATATGCATGGGCAAAATCCCGTAGGTAAAATTCCCATACTACATGGTGGCCAATTCACCATGTAATCCCATGGGAAATTTTCCCATGGGATACCCTCATGGGACATTTTTGTAAGGGTTATTGCATTAATGCTGCCCTACATATGTTTTAAAGAGTTCCTAGTTGCTCCCTTTGGCTCTGCCATGTACATATCACACACAGTGATACAGAAACCTAACCATATATCTTAAATGAACACTGAGATTTCTGCAATTGAGGGTAGTTATGCACCCAAAAGGTATGATGAAAATGAAATGCTATTTAAACAAGATTAGATTAGGTGTATCTTCACTTTCTCATGCCAAAAAGTTTAGACAACTTCAGACTTCATTTTTTAATTCATTTTTTGGAACTCTTCAGTGACTAGCTTACAGCAGTTTTCTGCATCTCATATCCTGATGTTACAGCACTAGTGCATCGAATGCTGTTCTTGTTAGAATGCTGGATTGACAGCTGTTCATCAGTGGAATTGGAAGCTTTAGCAGGAAACAGCCATTCTGTAAACTCCTGAAATGACAATCAATTTTTCCAGTGTAGAAATCAAAGTAAACTGATAATACAAAGTAAATTTTACTCGCTTTTTAGGAATGACTTTTTTACCCTTAAACAATTTATTTATTGAGACCATTTCACAAACCTTGAGTTCACCTTCTTCTTAAGCTGTAACATATTACAAACTTCAACCTTACAGATTTATTGCCATGCAATAAACAATTTTAAGTTGGCTCTGGTCCTTGCTCTACATCACTATGAAGTTCACATATATGTTACTAATGGCAATAGAGAAAAAATCGACCACTGTTGAAGTGAGTCAATCGCAAGTCCTTTCACAATATACATAAATCATAAGTAACAGGGTGAACAATGACAAAGGAATTTTTTTTGTCACATCGGTTCAGTTGGCAAGCTTGTGACTTGGCTTAGGACTGATGATGGACTTGTGATGGACATGCAGAGACTTGTGATGGACTCATCTTCGCTACTTTGCAAAAACAGGAAAAGCAGTAAAAATCAGGATAAAATGAAGAAGCTTTCACCACTGCTCTCTTAATAAGGTTACTACTATGGAGGGAAATAATGATGTGTACCCAGGCACCAACTTCACATTTTATATTAAAACAGTGACTGCAGTGGTGAATAAAGATGTAGAAGATGGCAGCCCCCATGAAAAGCTAAACCAACTTTTGGTGAGTCTGTTCCTTTTGTCCCATTTATACTGGGTAAAAGAACTCATAAACACAGCAAATAACAAACAACTCAATCTCATATCTTTAAAGACTATAAAAATGATCAATGGACTGGCTGACCAAAAGACTGAATTCGTGACTTTTGTGACTCACATCTTTAACCCTGAGAGTTGATCCTTACCTTCACACTGGATATCTTGCTGAATACACCATACCACTGGTCATTCAGGAGGAACTGTATACTAGGATGAGCGATGAATCTGGAGTGATTGAAGGCAGCAGCAAGGGACAAGCAAGTCTGCTCACTCCAATTGTCAAGTTGAGCACACAGAAGCAAACGTGTGAAGCTGGCATCTTCCTCAAAGCACTGGCTCAGAAGCTCCACAGCTAAGTTTTCATACCACCTGTCAGTCACATGTAGGCATCAATTTGGACAGCTTTTAGAGACTACGCTCTGTGCATCAGATGCAAGCACTGAGGTTTGAATACAAATGGACCTTGATCTTACCATACAAATCAAGTCTCAACTTAATTTGAGCAGAGCTCTCAGGTACACTTTGCTCTTTGCTTTCAGTGGTCATAAAGTTTCTTTGTTTGCTAGTTTTCATGTCAACTATAGATCACTGTCATGGAAGCCTGCTTGAAAATATGTAAATTGTCTGTCTGTCACTATGTGAAAACACTTATGTAGCAGAAAGTCTCGACTTTGAGTGAACACTGCAGTATTTGAGTATAAAACTAATTATGTATAGAAGTTGAGAAACAGTACAGTGACATTGGAAGTTGACATTAAAATTGTTACTCTTCATGTTCCTTTGTTTTTCCCTCTCGTTTTCCCACTCCTTTACATAGTGCAAACTTTTCAGTGTGTCGACACATTTTGTTAGCACCCACTGGAAACACAAAGAGTGTTTTAAAACTGATGACAATGACTTGTTCTTATTTTAATAACACCTATGTAAGCAACTGCTGAAAAATGAACATTTTTTGAATTGGGGCACCCATAGGTGAGTACATTTTTCAAGGGGAACCCTGGTTGGAGCAAAAGCTGTGTACATTTTAAGATTTCAAAGTTTGGGGGGGGAGGGAATGGGATCATGGGAGGCATAGGCATTTGCTCAGGGTCATATATATGGGGGCTCCCCCCATGTCCCGTGCCACCATACATCCTGTACCTCTTCTCCTCCGCCAGCCTGTCAGCAGCATCTGTGTTGTACTTCCACTTTGCAACCTCAGACATTCGGTAACAGAGCCGAGCCCCGATCAATGCCTTGGCCAGTGTCTCACGGCCTCGCTGCCACATCAGCCGAGCAATCTGATACTTCTTGGTCAACAGGGCCCACAGGAACAGATCATTGAATGGGAAGCAGTCAAAGTCTGCACTGGAACTGCAGCTGTCTGATTCCTCCCCCTGTTGGCAAATTCCAAGCAAACAGTTTATTTGCTTGTGTCTTTTGTATAAATGGATCTAAATCAGGGACACAGTAATTTGGTCACTTGTGTTTTGAAATTAGAATGTGAATATATGCTGAATTTATAGACAGTATAAAACAGCCAGTTGGCCACGGGGGAGGGGTGAGGAGTGGGAGTTAACCTGTCAGCTATGCCTGCAGTGCACAAACTGCAGAGGTACCAGAGGTCCCTTGACATGTAACTTACATACCTCAGTTCTTTGAAAGCACTTCATGAAGGTTCCACATGTCTTGCACCGCAGATTGTTCTCAGAGCTGGCTGTGTAATTGCAGGCAAATCCTTTACCGAGTAAGTACTGGATCAAACGGCCAATGAGTTGTAGCCTGAAGTGACGCTTGCCATATCGAATCTGATAATGACCAGTCATGAGATTCAGTTTATACATGTCACGTAAAAATCAAGTAAAAAGTGAAACGAAATGGCAAATTAAATGAAAGCAGCAAAACCAAACGGAAAACTAAAGGAGGTGGAAAAAAGAAAGCAGGGTCATTCCATGTCAGACAAACACACTTTTTGACCTTAGTTCTTAAGATTTTAATAAAAATTGCGGTGCTTGCAGACATCAATGAATAATAAATACCTGCAAATTTGTAGTGGAATCTGCCCTTTCACTTATAAATCCACCTTTGTAGTAAAAATGACACATAGCCCTCTCATTTTTAATTGAATATATGCAAATTTGGTATCAAAATAAGTAGAAGAACATGCCTTTTCACTGATGTTGTGGAAATTTATCTTGTGATTCAAGAGTCAAGATAACCTTTGACATACGCCTGTGACCTTTGACCCATTTTAAAATACAGTATCATTTTGAAATTTATTTGAACCAAGTGTTTTTGAAAGCATTGTTCCTGCTCTAGAAGAACCTGCTTAAATCTTTCTGGGGTGTTTAAAATAAAAAATGTTGTGACAATTTTTCTACTGTTGATCAGCTTTGAATATGTAAATTTTGTATGCAGTCCTAATACAAGAATTTGTACCCAAGCAATTTGTATTCTAACATAAAGTTAGCCCTATGGTGTATGTAAAATCATATTGAAATTGGAACTTAGATATGGAACTGTTAGGGTTAATTTTTAATTCTCCCAACATGATTGGAGGGCCTCACATTTCGATCCTAGCAGAATCTTTCTTAAAGGCAATTTTTAATTACATGGTTTAGTTTTATAATTAAATGGTTTTCAGAGCCAGAGCAATATATATCTCACACAAAATTGTTTCATTTGAGGAGCTCATTTTAGGAACATATGGTAATTGAGTCTGAATATACGTGGCCTGTCATCACAACATGAGCTGAAAGTCAGAATTTTCAAAAACAGGGATTTGGGTATTTTTGAGTTCAGCAGAAAGAGAGCTTTCCAATGGCATGTACATGGAACAACTAGGGTAAAAGTATAAGCTGACAATGTGACATTATTTTGGCAGCTTTGCGTCTTTGTTCCCGACATTGTTTCAACATTTCAGACCAGGCACAAATAATCCTATCGTCAAAGTTGCTGAGAAAAATAACATTTTTTAATATGTGATTCTGTGAAATATTTGGAATTATATAAGAGACGGGTTACTCTTTCCAAATATTACAAAACCCAGAAACTGACCTCCACTTCAATATGACTTTGAACCCTCAAAACAGAAAAGAGTGGGATGCGACTAAAGTTACTCACATTTTGTTGTGACAAGTCACATATGAGAATTAAGGAGCTGTCACGTGTTGACAGTGGGCCAACCGTAAACCCTGAGGGTGCAAAAAAACATGTACTCACAATATCGTACTTATACCCTTGCTCCTTACATGGCCACAATTTAGTTCATGCAAGTCAACAATGTTGCCTTAGTTTTAACCCTAAAAGAATTTTTTCCAGTGTAACCGCAGTGAATTTTGTTTCAGAAATTGAGCCTTGAAGAGTTTTAGAGCAACTCTTTGCAGCCTTTTGGACACCATTTGTGCATATATCCACGAACTCCAAATGACCCTAACTACAAAACCGTACGTCTGATTGAGTTCAAACTTCACATTCATGTTGCAGATTTTGCCTCCTCCCCCGTCTCTTTCAGGTTAAAACTTGTTTATTGTTTTGCTGACACTGTAACTCTTTGGAATGAGTGTGAGAACCTGAAGCTGGTCTTTCTATTGTTAACTGTAGCAAATTTCTCATTCATCAACTGTTCCAGCATTTCATCTGGGGCTGTTGGCTGTGGAACCTGTTGAATTCCGGGTTGACCAAGATGTTGACATTTTTGTAAAGTTCTACCATATTGTTATCACTCTTAACCCTTTGGAATGCACCTTGCTCTAATGTACTTGGAGGGGATCACAGCACCTCCGCTTATTGGCAGAATACAACTTTCCAAGTTGTTGGAAATGTGGCCTTCTGCTAAAATGTTTCACAACTCAATCTGATGAGACAGTGAACAGAGTAATTCATGATCACATGGGTAGTGATGTTCAGTGTCATCAGAACATACATGCACATGTACCTCATTGACATTTACTTTCCCACCAAACAATTGAGCCATTGCTTTATCCTACCATGTCTACTCATTCCAAACATAAGACAGATCACTAGAATAAAATTCCTTAAAATAGGGACGCCAACCTTAAATCCTCTTGACACCCATTCAAAATCTACAAAAGTTTCTGATTTACCCATACAGATGGCTACACAACACACAATTCTTTCATGCTATTCTCTGAGTGAAAGAAAATCGGTTTGGAGGGTTACACTGTTGGCTTGCATGTACTAAATTGCGGCCATGCAAGGTGCAAGGGCAAGTACAGTATTGAGTTGTAAGTACATGTTGTTTAGCTCCCTCAGGTGTTACGTTTTGCCCAGTCAACACATGACAGCTCCTTAGTCCTCATATATTCAGACTAAATTACTGTATGTTCCCAAAATGAGCTCCTCAAATGAAATAATTTTGTGTTTTCAGAGCCAGAGCAGTAGGCCTATCTACTGCTCTGGCTCTGAAAACAATGTAATTAAAAATTTGTTAACCCTAACAGTCCCAAATCCAAAGATTTCAATGGGATTTTACATACACCTCAGGGTCAATTTCATTTTAGAGCATAAATTGCTTGGGTACAAATTCCTGTATGAGGATTGCTTACAAAATTGACATATGCAACTCACTCTGTGAAAATGAGTGACAAGTCACCAGTCACTTGAGAGTTAATAGTCCTTTAGAATAATTTTACAGTGTAAATCAATAGGAACCCACAGCATTTTGCCATGGAGTATCTGCTTTCATCAGGGTGCTAAAACTGAGTGATACATCAAAACAAAAAGCTCAATTTGCTCTTTCTAATACAAATGAAAAGTGGCTCTGGTGACTTATGACTCATTTTCACAGAACACCTCACAAATTCTAAGCTGACCAGCTGTAGAAAAATTGTCACAACATTTGAAACACCCCAGATAGATTTAGCACATTCTTCTACAGCAGGGACCATACTTTCAAAACCACTTGGTTCAAAAAATTTTCAAAATGATACTTTATTTTTTAAATTGGGTCAAAGGTCACCAATGCATGTCAAAGGTCATTTTGACTCTTCGTTAACAAAGCTAAATTTCCACATCAGTGAAAAGAGCACATTCTTCTGATCATTTTGATACCACATTTGCATATAGTCAATGGAAAATGAGAGGGTTATGTGTAATTTTTACTAAAAGGGTGGATTTTTTAAGTGAAACTGTCCAGTTTTGTTGATCTCTACCCTGACCACATGGAAGAGCGGATTCATTGATGTGCACAGCAATTTTTATCAACATCTGAAGACCTTAGGTCAAAACCAGGCAGGAACACAAGAGTACTTTAATTTTTTACTAAGCCTAAACCCGCAAAACAGCTTGTAAAGGAAAAATACATTGATTCAATTTCAATTGATTGGCTCCTTCAGTTTGGGTTGTTTTCAGTTTTTTTGGTCTCTCCATTATTGGGCCTTCTCCTTCAGATTTTTCCTCCAAGAATTTCAATACCTTTGGTGGCATGAGATTTGCTTGTTGGTAGAGTACAGATAAAGTTGGGAATGGTTCTGACTCATCCTGAGAGAAAAAAACAAAGACAAAGTTCAGCAAGCAAGTTCATGGTTGCTAAGGAATGTGGCACATGGATGAATGTTGCCTTAAAAGGTCCGTGAGTTATCAGGGATGTCCTTGTTTTTTAAATGAGGCATTTCTTTTATCACACAAACAATCCAAGTTGATCCAATATGGATTTTCACACTCCTGTTTTTATCAACATCAGAATCTCAGCTTATTCACACTATTACAGCCTTGGGTGAATTCTACTACTTGAGATAAAAAACCCAAAATAAAAAAAAACCAAGAAAACAAACCAAACCAAACCAAACCAAACCAACAAATGAGTAATTCTTTTGATTTTAGTGATGTACCTGTTAATTGCCTCATTCAGATTTCCACTAATTTACAAAGTACTTAGTTCTACGTATACTTGGAATAAGAATTCATAACTATTACCATGCTATCAATGGAACTGTAGAGCTGTTCTAGTCGTTTTGTTGTCACAAAAGACTTCATGTAGCATCCAGCTTCCAGCAGAAGTCTAACAAAATCTACTCGATTCCGAACAAGTGCAACCTCCATCGCCTCATCTAGACACAAATCCTAATAAAACAGACTTTCAGAAAGTGTTTAAATGAAAAACTCTGAAACAAATCAACCGCTCCTCTAAATTTTCTTTTCTTTTCCTTGTGTGGGAATCCACATCCCCAGGCATCTAAGTTTGTGCCTGTATGAAAACAGCTTTATTTTAATTTCTTTGCATTTTTTCTGCATTCAACTAACTAGATTTCTTACGTTCCATGAAATGTTTTGGTTGAAAATCTTCTCCTTTGCAAGATCAACTCGGTTCCAGATCAGGGAGAGTTTCAACTGATCAGAGGGAGACAAATTGCTGGCTAGAAAACAAAATAAACATCAACAAATCTGTTTATTGTCAGACAGTGTCTTTTCTGCACACCCGCAATGATGATAGAAAACAAAGCAAACAATGTGAACTTTTTTTTTTCTGTTTGTTGTTGCCCTGTACTCTCACAACATAATTATTATGAAAGAAATCACTATATAAGCGATTGAGTACTGAAAGAACAAAGACATTGATTACCTTTCATAAGGGCATTGAGAATTGCGTAATCTATGTCGACATCATCCCCTGCATCCACACTGTAGATTGTTATCTTAGTGAATAGAAGAGGATGAATAATCTTTAGTTCATTATCGGTATTGGTTGGCATTATTATGGACGTCATTATGCTTATTGTCATTGCTATCACCATGGTAATTTACTTCGTAAAGGCCATCCTGGTCATTAATATCCTCCAGAAATAATTAACTACAGTCCTGCTTTACCATGTACATTTATTTTTACTGAACAGTTCTTTTTTACCCTGTTTTCATCAAAATACCAGTTATCAGACTCACTTAATTTCCTGTTTTTCCCCTTTTAAAAGATTTCTTTTGCTTTTCTTCTAGTTATACTATTTCTTGCTGGAGTCAGGCACAAGCCAGACACAGAAAAAACAAAACAACCATCCATTTGGCTTGTTCATAAAAACAGAATGTGTTACAGGTTGATATGAAGACATATTTTATATAAACATATCCATAAAATTCACAAAAGTATGTTAAATATCCCCAGTGAAGTATTACTATAAAACATACATATAGATGGAGGTAAGTAATTCCGACTCAGGCATCATCATCAAACTACAAGTATTATATGATGTTCACTTGGTTTTGTGCACACTGTTTTTATCCTGATACAATCTTGTTTTATTTCTGTTTTGTGGCATTTTGTACACTCATTCAGCCTGTTCCAACAGTTTATTATTCCAGTTATATTCAAATGCCATGAGAAATCTTTTTAAAAACTTTTCAAGCAGGATAATGTATTTTTCTGTGTCATTTCACCACTGTCATCATTATCACAATCATTACCATACTTTGCTTCAGTCATTAAATATAACTGCACCATGCATGGAAAAAGGAACTACATATAAACATATAGATGACTTTTTTTCTGACAAGACTCAAAGTCAGTTTGACAAGGTACTTGATTTCTAAATTCAAAAAAACTGATAGCATCCTGCAAGTACCATCAGCATATGAAAAATCTTGTTTTCTCTGCGGCTGTCAACCTCATTGTTTTTCTTTTTTCCAAAATGAACATTGGCACTATAGTCTTCCTTACCAGATTCTTCCTTTTCATAACCTGTTCAAGGTCTTCAAACAGGCTCTCATGTTTGTCTTGGTTGCTAGGAAATGTTTGGGCAATCTTTGCCTTTAGTTTCTCCTTGTGGTCCGGCATAAGTGCTCTGCATAAAAAATACACACCACCCATCATATACCTCTTTGCTATGCATCATTTAACGACAAAGCAGAATTCTACATGAAATAAATGACAATTTTGACTAAATCTAAGTTCCATGGTTGCCACTGTTCATGTGACCAAGATGCAAAGACTTTGCTAGTTCTGAAAATGTCCAACATATCCAAATTACTTTTTGTTGAAATTAAGATTTTGTTGTTAATGTTCATAAAGGTTTGGCTTTGCCAATATCTCCATATGAAATCCAATCCTGCCTCCAATTTTCTGGACACTTTTTAACACACTGATTACCCTTACTGCAAACTTTTGATGTACTCTTAAGGCCAGTTCATACTTAAGGTGAATGCCAAAACAAAGCAATGTCATTGTAACAAAATACTTTCACCACATTTTGCTTCAGCTAAAATGTGTTCAACTTCGGAACACGGATATTCAATTTGATTACAATTTCAAGTTCACGTTGGCTGTCATGGTGAGTATGACTCAGCGAATAACACATGTGGTACCAAGTAAATTTTTGTGAGTCCAAGGGAAGTCACAAGTCATTTGGTGCAGTTACAAATCACCTGACACGTCATTTGATCTTCTCTCCAGTCCAGTCCAGTCAAGTCACAAGTTTTTGTCCAAGCACAAGTCAAGTTGCATCATGTGTGATTTCAAGCCACAGCCTAGTTTTGGTTCCAAGACCTTCCATAATTCATTTTGTGATCTGTGACGTGACTACGTACACAGAATGGTTTTCCATATATTGCTTGATCAGGAGTAGCAACAGACTACGGCAATAATTTTAGGATATTGTAGCGCCAGCGGGTTCGGCCGGTGGGGGCGCCAGCTCTGACCTGCATGGAGCTAGCTCTCTGCCCCTGCTGGTATGCGAACGGCCAGTGACTTTCCCGCCTTGCATGGAGCTAGCTTGCTGCCCCTGCTGGTATGCGAATGGCCAGTGACTTTCCCACCTTGCATGGAGCTAGCTCTCTGGTATGCGAACGGCCAGTGACTTTCCCGCCTTGCATGGAGCTAGCTCGCTGCCCCTGCTGGTATGCGAATGGCCAGTGACTTTCCCGCCTTGCACCTGCGCAGTCCCCGTCTAGACACCTCGTGTCTGGAGCTGTGTGTGTCAGACAGCCCTTTTGCTTTCGTGAAAATAAACAGACCAGTTTTCCTGGAACGGAGATTTGAGCCTGACCGAGTAGTTCTTGTCAGCGTCAGAGCCCATATACAGGACACGCTACAACTGGTGGCAGCGGCGAGACACTGGATACAAGAAAATCAGGTCACAGTAAATTCGTTGTCTTTTCTGTGCCATGGAGTTGGTTGATGATTTGGGTCGGGTGCCGGACTCAGTGGACAGCGGCAGCACAGGCCAGCGCGGGGCCCTGCAGTTGGGGACCCAGACTGCCTGGGTTGGCGGGTGAGCTGGAGTCGTTCCTCGCAGAACAGTCATCCAGGAGCGGGGGTTGGAAATTCGAGGGTATCGAGTGCGTGGTGTGGGAGGATTTTGGGTTAGGTCCCCTGGATAATGCGGCCACACCTGCACGGTCCCCGGGCGACTTCCCCCTCCCAAAGTCGAAGGTGCGGTTCCAATTGGAGCATGACCATTTCACCCCGGTCCCTGAGGAAGGGGCGGGCATCGCCCAGCAACATCCCCCAACCCCTCACTAGTACACCCATCAACGGCAACTGTGGGGGGCCCTCTGGTGGTGGGGGCACAATGGGAGAGGCGTTCCAGTCGGAGCCCCCTCAGGGTGGGTCCGTGGCTGGGGGTTCCCGACGGAAACTGTTGGAAACTCATTCATGTCTTGTAGCATTGGGCCTCTCACGGTACCGTCGTGGCCGAAAGAACATTCCTCTCGGAGCGCGGCCGGGTGGCTGCCACGGGGTTGGAGCCTCGGCACGAGATAGCTGAAGCTTGTAATACTGGTTATAGTATTGGGGCACCCTCCTGCGGCGCTGAGGTGGCTCAGGAAGCGTCCCACTCGGAGCGTGGCGCAGCCGTGGCAGTGGCCGCGGGGGCGGGGCCCTGGTACAAATTGATGGGAGCTAGCGGGCCCGTGGCAGATTTCGGGGCAACTCGCGCGCTGGGGACGTGGCTGGCGTGGCATACCGCCTGGAGCACTGCAAGGCCGTGGCCACGGTCGTCGGGAGGGGGTTTTGAGATGGGCTGGATAGAGTTTATGAGATAAATAGTGAAATGTAGGCGCCCCCACATGGGCGGAACTGTAACGGGTGGCGCGATTAGGGCGAATCCCCGCATGGGGATCCGCACGCATCTATATGAGGTGGATCCTCCCCGGATCTGCACACACACATACGAGGTGGATCCCCGTGTGGGGGGAGCCGATCAGAAGGACCGAAGGACCGGAAGCTCGTTAGGGCGGATTACCCCACACACTTCAAAAGTGTTGCCACCGTCAATAGATGGAGCGAGGCCGAGAAGGCGGGGGTACTTGGCCTCCCATCTGCTTGGACTGGCTCAGGAGGCATTCACTGACTTGTCACCTAAGACACTTCCAGCGGCAGTTTGGAGTTGCTTTGCAGGTGCCGCTTCATCGGGCTCAACTTTCCATGCGGCTGCACTGTCGGGGAGAGTCCCTGGAGGAACTGGGGAGGTCAATCTGGCGGTAAGTCCTCTGGAGTTACCTTGCCCATGTAGGCGCGTGAAGATCTGGCGGTGGAGGCCTTCTGGAACACCCTGGGGGACAAACAATTGCAGTGCCATGTCTTCCCAAGGAAGGCCACGACCCTGGCAGAGGCGATTACCCTGGCCACTGAGATGGACGCCTTTTTGGAGTCCCAGGCCTATCAGCGGAAGGGTAAGATCGGGGCCAAGGAGGTCCGGGTGTGGGGATAGACTTCATGGCTAAACACCGCTGCAAGTGGAGGTGGAGTGACAACTCACTCGTGGTTGACGGCAAGCTGGTTTCCCCTGAGGGGCTGAGCTGCAAGCTGGTGCAAGCTGCAAGCTGGCGGTGGCCAGGTGGCCGAGAGAGTGGTAATTCCCGCCGGCACGAGGCGATCGTGCCCACGGAGTGGGGATGGTGTACCCCAGCCTGGTGGCCACGGACCACTGCCAGGTGGCCGTCGTGACGGGCTTTGTGGACACCAGTCAGGGGGTTGTGCCGATGCGAGTATTCAACCCGATGGGAGACCCGGTCACAGTCTATAAGGGGAGTCGTCTGGCAATGTTCACCCTTGTGGAAGAAGGCCCCATGATCTTCCCCGAGGAGAGTTCTCAACAGGTGTTTTCAGAGCCCTGCCCTACGGATGGTTAGCCCCGACAGCAGTCTGGCGGGCCACCGTTGCCAGGGAGGCTCCTCTCGGGGCTCGGGTGATAGTGTGCCCGCCCACCTGCAGGACCTCCTGGACCAAAGAGCCGCCCACCTGGACGGCGAGGAATGTGCACGCTGGCGAGCCTGCTGGTAGAGTTCCAGGGTGCCTTCACCATGCTGGATGGCAGGCTCGGCCAAACCGACTGGGTCCAGCACCCAATCAACACAGGGACGACGCTGCCCATCCGGCAACCTTTTCAGCGGCTTCCAATTCACAAGCGGTCAGAGGCCCAGAGGCAGGTGGACCAGATGCTGGCGGATAGGGTAATTAAACCGTCGCACAGCCCGTGGTCTTCAACGGTGGTCCTGGTGCGGAAGAAGGACGGGTCTGTCCCCTTCTGTGTGGACTACCGGCGGGTCAATGCAGCCACCCTGAAGGATGCCTACCCCATCCCTCAGATCGAGGATAACACACTCGAGGGAGCCAGGTGGTTTAGTACATGGACTTGGCCAGCGGGTACTGGCACGTCCGCATGGCAGAGGATGACAAGGAGAAGACAGCTTTCAGAACGCAGAGCAGCCTCTACCAGTTTACTGTGATGCCCTTTGGGCTCTGTAATGCTCCAGCTACCTTCAAGCGTCTGATGGAGTGCGTCCTGTGGGGTCTCCAGTGGCAGGTGGCCATCATCTACGTGGATGACGTATTTATTTGGGGCGGACCTTTGAGGAGCACTACCAAAGGCTGCCAGGCTCACACTGAAAACCAAGAAATGTGACTTTTTCAAGACGGAGGTGTCCTTTCTGGGCCACTCGGTGTAGGCAGAGGGGCTGCGGACGGACACCCTAAGGTTGCAGTGATCCATGGTTGGCCAAGGCTGGCAACTGTGACGCAGGTCCGGAGCTTCCTGGGCCTGGCATCATATTATCGGCGGTTTATTGCCTACTTTGCCAAGATCGCCCCTCCATGATTTGACCAACAAGATCCAGAGGGAGTTTGTGCGGACAGATGCCTGCCAGACGGCATTCGAACACCTGCAGGATGCAGGGGCCATCCTCTCCCAGGAGGGGGAGCACGGAGAGTGGGTAGTGGTTTATGGGAATCGTGTCCTGACCAAGGTGGAGAGGAACTATTGCACCAACCGGAAGGAGCTCCTAGTGGTCATGCACTTCGTGCACTATTTTCTAAGCACTACCTGTTAGGGAAGTGCTTCCTGTTGAGGATGGACCATGGCTCGCTGTGCTGGCTCTTTAATTTAGAAGAGCAATAGGGGCAGACAGCCAGATGGCTATAGAGGCTGGGGTACTACGAGTTTGACATAGAACACATCAAACAGGCGGAAACACATCGACGCCGTCTCTCGGATACCCTGCGACCAGTGCGGGCATTCCTGAGAGATTGACCAAAAAAGTTACACAGGGCCGGCTTCTTCGGCGGATTCGGACCCCCCCTCGGAGCCGGCCGCCGGAGGCAGAAGACGAGTCCTTGGTTGCGACAGTCGACAAGGACGGAGAGGAGGATGACTTGATTTTGGACGGATTTCCCGAGGTCTGGGATCTGAGCAAGCTAGCTCAGGAGCAGCTGGACGACCCGGAGCTGGGACCTGTCCGCCAGTGGCTGGTGGCGGGGAGCGACCGGCCTGAGTGGGAGGACATCTCTGACCTCGGCGCCAGGGTCAAAAGCTGGTGTCCAGATGGGACACACTGTGCCTATTCCGAGGAGTCTTGCAAGTGAAGTGGGCGGGGGCTGACAGGGGCCCCCACCTGGAAGATCGCCGTCACACAGGCCAGGGTGCCCGAAGGCTCTACTTCTTGCTCACAATCACCAAACTGCTGGACACCTCAGGGTCGTTCAGACTGTGGCCCGACTCAGTTACGCTCCTGTGTATTAGAGGGAGATGAGACGGCAGGCCAAGGAGTGGTGCCAGAAGTGCCATCTCTGCGGTTCTAAGAAGTCCCCGCCAAGTCCTGGGAGAGCATCATGCCCAGGGGGCCGGGTTCAAGCCCGGTGAGGCTATTTGGCTGTTCACCCCCAAGAAGAAGGTCGGCCGCGCCCCCAAGCTGCAACAGTGGTGGTACGGGCCCTTCACGATGCCACGATGCCTCCATGATGTGACTTACAAAGTGCAGTGCGAGCCGAAGGCGGGGGGGCGCGTGTGACTCGCAAGGGGTGGTGGGTGCGGCACCCTGCGTGATTCTGCTCCATGCTAACTCCTGAATCTCCCTATGTTTCTCTTCCCAGGATGGACTGGTTGGTCTGCCCCCACTGTCAGTGAGAATTCCGCCAGCGGACCAACTTGCGGCGACACCTGAGGTCAGCTTGTCCGGAGCTGTTCACCGCCCGGCCCTATACCTGTGAGCAGGGGTGTGGCCGCTGCTTCTACCGCTCGGACATGCGGGATCGGCACCACCGACACTGCAGCCACGTCCTCGATGGCCAGGTCCAGGTGGAGGATCCTTACATCCTGGAGGTCTTCATCAGTGACGGGGAGTTGGGGGGGTGACGAGTTCCCATGGAGAAGTCACCCCCCCTCTCGGTGCCGAAGGCGGGGGTCGTGGGGCCGGCCGGATCGACAAGACCAGTCAGACTCACTTTCCGGTGCGGCCCCGGGCCCTCGGGCCCCCGCAGCGGCCCTGGCAGCTTGAACCTCCCCCCTACGTCACTCGGGGATGCAGACCGAGGTAGAGCCCCCAGCCCCGGTTTGGAGCGGGGGGCCGCCGGGGTCTGCCCCCCGGCTCCTTGGTGACATATGCTGGGGGGTCTGCCTGCAACTGGGGATGCGAGCCACCCTGCAGGAGGAGCGGGCCACCAGAGACGCAGACTCCATGATGGACCCCCCCTCTGTGAGTATCACCACAGCCAGTGGCGGTTGGAGGTGGCCCCCGCTGGCCTGGACCGCTGCGGCCACCGCCAATTCCAGACCCGGGTGGTTCACAATCATGAAGTTCCGGGCGGGATGTTGTACACCTTCGGCAGTGAGCCGTAGGCGCAATACGGTGTCGACGCCGACTACGCTTGGCAGCCGTCTCTGGGGGGCTTCTTACCTCCGGGAGTGCCGCTTCCGACCCGGTACCCAGAACAAGTCCCGTGGCAGTTCTGGGACCGGCTGTTCCGGCGGTCGCAGGTCCAGCGGGAGCCCCGTCCATTGCCCACTGGAGTCCGTCCCCACAGAGCAACGAGGCAATGCCAGGAGGCACCACGGTGCCCCTGCTGGTATGAGAACGACCTTCAGCTTTCCTGTGCCTCGCCCCTGCACAGTCCCCATCTAGACACCTCGTGTCTGGAGCTGTGTGTCAGACAGCCCTTTTGCTTTCGTGAAAATAAACAGAGCAGTTTTCCCAGAACGGAGATTTGAGCCTGACCGAGTAGTTCTTGTCAGTGTCAGAGCCCATAGACAGGACACGCTACAATATGCATTATTCGTATCACTTGAGTGATGATAAGTGGAAGCAATGCATATATTGACCTCGAACCCCCCCCCAGCTTATGGACCTGAGCCAAGTTTTTCAGACATGGCCTTGGGCAGACAAGACCGAAGCAGAAGTTGCGAGCAGAACAAAGTCTTACAATGACTATTTTAAGAACGCAAGGCGTATAAGTTGATAGGCCTAGTTTAAAACTGTAATGGGTTCGATTGAACAGTTTTTGACTTGCATTGGTAACATAAGTCCAAGTCAAGTCACAAGTCGTTTTTTTGGCAAGTCCAAGTCAATTAAGTCAAAAGTCAAAAACTGATAGTTACAGGTCAAGTCACGTGTCACAAAAATAGCGACTTGAGTCTGACTCAAGTCCAAGTCAAGTGCCTTGACTCTACAATTCTGGCAAATAACCAAATTTCAAAGTTTCATATACAATCATATACCATCAATTTTATGGGAATAGATTTAGCTTCTTTTTTATCAATGAAGAATAATATTGAACAAAGAAACGGAAATTTCTATCCATTATTAGGGCCATGTTTTTCATCCATTAAAAATCACAACCGGGAAAAATTCTGTACCAATTACAAATTAGTGTTAAAAGTGGCAGCTACCTGTCTAAACAATTAAATAGCTCAGAAATGTCAGGAAATTGCTCTGACAGAAAGTCAGACTAGAGGAATGATTCTTCATTGGGGTCAATATGTGCACTAGAGGAATACTAAAGTCTGAAAAACTAAAAGAAGTTAAATGATTTGAAGACAATAAATACCAGATTAAATGGAGGCAATTTACTTTAACTACAACCGAACCATGTGTATTTTGGGGATAAATGAACTCTCATTGTGGGTCACTGTATGACTTTTGCACCTTAAGACATGTTAATTCATTCAAAATTTGGACTTTTTTACCTTCGGGCAAATGAAACTTTGGATTATCGAACCTTTGGACTAATGTATCAACCTTATTTCATTTTTGGACTATTACCCCTGGTTATAGGAAATTTGTGTGTGCTGACTTAAACCCTTGGACGTCTTCTCCCCTGGATTATCAAGCAGACCCCAACTAACAAAAAAAAGGAAATTTCTAAATCTACTCAATGCACAACTCACTAAGGGTGCTAGTAATATCTGATACAATTTCTTTAAGCCGGCTACAGCTTATGAATAGAATGTCTGTTTGAAAAGTGATGCATGTCAACGAGCTAGTAAAGGGGTGTTAATCCATGGGGGCTGAAACACAGTGTGCACATACAGGTTTGTGGGCATCTCAAACGTGGAGCACAAACGACCAACTGAAACTGCATGCAAAACATTCTACTGTAATGGTCTGCCTCCTTGCCTTTCTTGTGCACATCAGATCCCAAACACATACCCCTCAGCATCAGACTTGGCGTACGCGTATGCAATCAGATCAGCCCCTCGACCACTCCCCTCTGCAATGACAACAGGAATGATTGGATCCTTGGTGATGTTCTCAAGGACCACACGGATGGTGTTTAGGCCACCCTCAAGGACAAGGCAGACTGCTGGTATGCCGCAGTCACCTGCAGAGAGAAAATGACGATTGCATGATGATTGTTTTTATGTCATCTTTTAATGAGGGTAAACTCTGATCAGTGCACAGCACTGCTGTGCATGGCTCTCATCAGATTAACACCAAGAGTCGACGGCACACAATTACAAGGGCACCTTTGGCAGTTGCCAATTAAACGGCCCACATAAGTAGAGAGGAGACATTGAGAAGCAGTTACTGTTTGAGATGTAGGAGGAAAACCCTAGGAAAAATATTTTGGATAAAACCCACAGAATCACTGACAACCTAATCCACATGTGAACTAAGCCGGGAATCAAACCTGGGCCACAGAGGTGATAAGGCAAGGAAGGAACCACTACACCAACCTGACTTGAAGTGTACATGAACACTTAAAAACTCTGGCATTCATAGTTGTCAGATGGTATCCACCTGCATTTAAGCATCTCAAGGCATTAATGTCACTGCGAGGTTAAAACATTGGACTTCTTCAAAAGAACATAAACTACAAGTCCAAAGCTTGGGAGAACAGCATGGGCATATATTTCAACATCCTTCTTTTCTTTGCTTTGTTTAAAAGCTCATATTTTAAGCATTTTCCCAAATGTCTGATGCTTTTCCTAAGGTGAGTTTTATTGCTAACGTGGCACTGTGTTACACGCCACATCTTCCCTTTTTTTGAAGTTTTCTATACAAATAATAAATCTCAATTAAACATCATTAGTAGGCCTACATTAAGTGACCCCCAGCCAGCACAGTAGTTAAAACATAAAAAAAACTGACAAAGATCCGTAAATTCAACACAGGAAGAGTTGTAATAAAACTATACCTACTTTCCACACGAAGATTGTAGTGTATAATATAGAAATCAAGCATGACTAAATGTGCAGAGGAACAGGAAAAACCTTGAAAATGGCAATATAGAATTTGACAAAAATATTATACAGGAGCTCATTTCAGTAACAAATGACATTAAAGTTCTTTTGCATGAGATCTTAATGATGATAATAATAAGTAAATAAAGCTCGCGCAATTAAGCAACAGATATTGCAACCCATGTTGATAAGTGATCGAGACACAACTGTCAATAACACCTACTAGCAGGGTCCATTTTGTGGTTAGACACCAGTTTTTCCAGGCTGGATCGCAGAGTGATCTCCACCCCATATTTTCCCACTGTGCCATTATCTACAAGAATGAAGTGTGTGTGGTTTGGATCCAGTGATGCCCCCGAGCTCTCCAATGAACTTGTCATGCGATAATGCTTGACACGCTGTAATAGAAGAAAAGTATCGAGACGTAATGCAAATGTGCTTGTAGGCCTTCTAATTTTAGATCTGAAAAATCAGGGATAGTAATTGAACACCATGTGGGCACACTGACAAATACAAACTGTTCTAACATAATGTATTACACCTCAGCTTTTGCATTGCAATACCAGGGAATTATGCTTTGAATAAAACACTTTGTAGTAATATGCCTCACCCAAAGCAAACAAGAGAGCAAAAATGGTGGCAGAGTTGCATTTCTAAGGGCCAGGAGAGAGAATTCAAGTCTATGAAGTTAATGTCACATGTCCTAAGTAAAAATGAATGTGTACACTCCAATTGTACAAATGTGTTCAATATTCGAACTGACAGATGAAACAATGTTTTATTGAAATTAAATCAATTAACTATGTCCAAGACAAAAATGCATGGCAGTGATCAGGAATATTATGCCTTGATCTTTCAGGATAATTGTTAATCTGCCTGGAAAGGCACCCTGCACAAAAACCTTGTGAGACTGGTGTGAACAATTTTTAGTGATTTCCTAGTAAATACATCGGTAATTCCCATGTTAAATTTTACTTAGGACATGTTATCACTTGTGATGACTAATAAAACCACTGCAAGGGAAAATTAGTGATGTTCATAAATGGAACTCCTACAGTGAATTTGCTCACTCATGGCTGATCAAGCTAACTGACTAATTTTTCTTACTGCATGCTGTCTGTTTCTCTTGTCTTCAAGCTCTGTGTTGCCGTCAACTATCCCCCAGGATACAACACCAATGGCATTTATCTTGTGTCGTGATCTGAGGGTGTGTTCCCGCAAGGCCTTACCAACATGTTTCATCACACCTGTTTTTTCAACAGCCAACAAAAACACCAGTTCTGAAAAAACATATACAGTAAAAAAAAACTGATGTAAAGATGCTTCCATGATGAGACTATAAGGTACTTGGTAAATGCTTAATATCTACAACATGTCTCAAGAGATTTGGGTCTGACAGGTGGGGCTTTGCTTTGAACTAGAGGGAACATCTACGTGTATCAGCAGAAACCACAACCAAGCACCAGGGCGACCAGATGAAAATAGTGGCCTGAGATGCTTCTGTTTTTCACTCCTTGTCCTCCTATTGCCATACATAATATTATGATTCTGATAGAATCCACCATTTTTCATAATTCTGCTAAAATCTGCTAAAAATACTCATTCTACTAAATTTTCTGTCAAAAGTGTTTGTTTTTTTAATCTGTCACATTTAGTCAAAATCTGCTTATGGTCACCCTGCAGAGCACAGTACTAAAGCAAGCTGCAGCACACAGAAGTAACACTACTGTGGCCAAAAACTGCCACAGCAAAAGCAAAAGTGCTTCGGCAAAAGCAAAAACACAGGCTTGGTTCCGGGGGGTGGATGTCAATATTGGCTTGCATGCTCGGACACAATAGAAAAATTTTTTAGTAGGTGATTACGGATGGCATCCTGCAAGCAGATGACAATTTAACGCGTGTGTCCTTAACTGACATTTACAAAACATTGATGGGCCTGTTTCCTCGGAAAATTTCTTGGTCCGCCCCTGATGCATGTACCACCAAAAAGGCTGAATTTGGTCATAGATATGAATAAACTATGTGAATGCAGTGCAGTGAAAAAGGTACTTGACTTGCCACAATATCATAGTGTGAATTATGGAAAAGCCAGAATCATGTTTGGCAACTGCGGACATGAAATGAGAAATACCGACATTTTTTGTTCAAATTGTGGACAAGGTTAGTCTTTATTCCGTTGTGCTCTCTCAATTTTGATGTGAATCCACGCTAGCCTATTCTGATTGAAGAATATTATCATGATAATGGCCGACAAGACGTACGAGCACATACCACTGGACGGATACCCATTTCCTCGACCAGCAGCATCACTTTTGGAATCTGGAGTGTTAAGACCATGAACCAGAGTGGAAAGGTAAGCCAGATTGCAGCAGAAATGAAAAGATACAACCTGATGCTACTAAGGATCAGTGAGACCAGATGGACAGAGTCAGGACAGAGACGCCATTTAAAGTGGTGAGACGCTGCCGTACTCAGGTCATGAGGACGATGACGCCCCACACACGGAGGGAGTCGCTCTCCTACTTTCTCCGACAACCCATGTAGCGCTCATAGGATGGGAGGCACATGGACCGAGGATCATCAGAGCAGTTTTTGCCACCAAGAAGAAGAGAATCAAGATTTACAGTACAGATTGCGGTAACACCATGTAATTTATCTCTTGAGTATGTGTGGTTCTGGGAAGAACCGGGGAATAACTCGACGTTTCGAACAGTGTACTCTGTCTTTCTTCAGGAGACTGCAGGATTCTAACTGGGAGTGGAGCTTATATGGTGTAGAGAAGAGAATCAAGTTGAACGTTATTCAGTTTTACGCCCCACTAACGACAGCGATGATGAGGACAAACAACATTTCTACCACCAGCTCCAGGCCGTATTGGACAAGTGCTCAGAGAGGATGTCACCTTGCTAAAGGGTGATTTCAATGCCGAGATACATGTAGGACAGGATAACACCGGGTTTGAAGAGGTGATGGGGCAACATGGTCTCGGTTAGATGAGCAACAACGGATAGTTGTTCGTAGACTACAGTCCCCTCAACAAAACTGTCATTGGTGGCAGCACTTTCCATCAAAAGGATCCATAAGGCCATATGGGTGTCACCGTATTACTTCACAGAAAATCAAACAGACCACGTGTACATCAATAACAATTCCGTTGGTAGCTACAGGACGTGAGAGTGAGGAGAGGGGCTGATGCAGCATCCGACCACCACCTGCTGACCGCCAGAGTGAAGCTGAAGCTGAGGAAGAACTTCACAGGAACCACAGGCAGGCGACACAGCTATGATGTAGGACAGCTGAGGGACAAGAGAGTGCGGCAGAGCTTCCGACTGACACTCTCCAACAGGTTCCCTGTGCTGCAGGAGTTGATGGAAGAGGAGGAGCCACTGGAAAAAGATTGGAGCAGGACCAGGGATGCCATTAAGATGAAATTAAGAGGAGATGGTGGGCCACAGGAACCACAAGCATAAGGACTGCGCCTCGGCCTCCACTCTCAGCAAGATAGAGAAGAGGAAGAAGACTGCAGTCAAAAACGCACGTACTAGGGGAGCTTAGGCTAGAACACAGGAGTAATATACAGTATCACACCGGGAAGTTAAGAAGAGCATTAAAGCAGACAAGGTAGCCTACGTGAACATCCTGGCAGAGGAGGCAGAACAGGCAGCCAGAAGTGGCAACATGAAGCAGCTGTACGACATCACCGGGAAACTCTCCGGCAAGTACTCCAAGCCTGAGAGACCGGTCAAAAACAAGCAAGGTGGGACCATCATCGAGAAGGAGAAGCAACTAGAAAGATGGACGGAGAATTTTGAAGAGCTCCTCAATCGACCCACTCCACCCCCCCTCCTATTATCCTGCCAGCTGAGTCCAACCTCCCCATCAATTAACTGTGAGAGACCGAGCTGGGGTGGGATCAGGAAAGCAGTGCTAAAGTTAAAAAATGGCAAGGCAGCAGGCCCAGACGGTATCCCTGGACAAGCGCTCAAAACAGACCTGGATACCACAGTGGAGCTTCTGTACCCGTTGTTTGGCAAGATATGGGAGAAGGAGGAGATCCCAGCCGACTGGAAGGAGGGCTACCTCATTAAGCTTTCGAAGAAGGGCGTCCTCAGCCACTGCACTAAACTACAGAGGGATCACCCTGTTGTTGGTGCCAGGCAAGGTTTTCAACAGGATCATTCTGGATAGGATGAAAAGCACAGTCGACCCTCAGGTCAGAGATCAGCAGGCAGGGTTAAGGAGAAAAACAGATCTAGACTGACCAGATTGCTACACTATGCATCATAGTGGAGCTGTCACAGGAATGGAATTCACTACTCTACATCAACTTTGTGGATTACGAAAAGGCATTCGACAGTGTGGACAGAGCGACTCTATGGAAACTCTTGACACACTACAGAGTACCACAGAAGATCGTTCACCTAATACAGTATTGCTATGATGGGATGAGCAGCAGAGTCGTCCATGAGGGACAGCTCACACGACAGTTCCAGAGTGAGACAAGGGTGCCTTTGTCTCCATTCCTTTTCCTTTTGATTATTGACTGGGTGATGAAGACGACAATGGCCCAGAAAAGGAATGGTATACAGTAGACACTTTTGTCTCAGCTCGATTACTTGGACTTTGATGATTTAACTGATGATTTGGCTCTACTGTCCCACAACCCTCAACAGATGCAGGACAAGACAACCAGACTCAAGGACTCCTCTGCACTAGTCGGCCTGAACGTCCATCCAAAAAAGACCAAAGTCATGAGGATGAACACCATGCGTACTGACACAGTGTTGCTTTAGGGAAATGCTCTCGAGGAGGTGGACTCCTTCATCAACCTTGGAAGCATCATCAACAGGGAGGGAGGGAGAGATGTAGATGTTAAGGTCAGGATTAGGGAGGCTCGAGCAGCCTTTCTACAGCTCAAGACAGTATGGAACCCGAGGGAACTTTCAATAAAGAAAAAAAAAAGATTTTTAGCTGCAATGTGAAAGAAGTAATCCTGTACAAATCAGAAAGATGGAGGATGGCAAAAACTACTCTTCAGAGGATACAAATCTTTAGCAACGGCTGTCTCAGGAAAATTCTGAGGATACACTGGCCAGAGAAGATCAGCAACACCGACCTCTGGGAGACCAAACGTCAATGGAAAATGAAATAGGGAGGAGGAAATTTAGATGGCTGGGGCACACACTCAGGAAATCAAACAAATACAGCATGACAAGCGCTCACTTGGAATCCCCAGGGAAAAAGGAAAAGAGGCCGACCAAGAAACACTTGGCGACGAAACCTCCAGGCAGACATCAAGAGACTGGGTATAACCTGGAGACAGCTTGAGGCAAGGGCACAGGACAGAGCTCTCTGGATGTCTCTCACAGGCGGCCTTTATCCCAGTAAGGGTCCAAGGCGTTAAATAAGTAAGTCTCTCAATTTTGAAGTGAATGTCATGGCTGGAATCCTTCAACTATATGCGTAAATTCCCCATACCGAGGGGCGAATTTTCCCATTTTATTCGAGCGCCGCGCAGATTACGAAAACCCCTGTAGTTTTATTTGAATAGGACCTACCGGTCTATGCGTTCATAATGTCTGTAGTTACAACATTGATCTCCATTATAAAGACCGGATAGGACATCGCGCATTGTCTGTGCACAAAATGCGCGGCAGAACAATGGCGGCGCTTCAGGAGGGCAATGTCATGCTGTGTGCTGTGCATTTTTGGTCAACATAACCTTTTTCTCATGGGATGATGGCTAAGCCCTCGGCCTCCCTCCCGAAAACAAACCAAAAATAAACTGAAAATGCAAGAATATCATTTCCTGAAATAACTGACCATTTTCTTAATAACTAACCCACTCGAAAGTGATAATGATAACCCGTTTTGTGTGTGTTTGTTTTTAATTCAATTTTTACACCTATTGTCTACAGTCTCGCTTTAGCAATATTTTCACTCTGGGTCAGTTCAATTGTGATTTGTTCAGTGTGTAAAACTTTGAAAATTCCACAGGACATGCAATAGGTTTTGTAAATATGATGTCTGAACTGTTCATGTGTTTTTCCGTCTAGTTTGGATGAACCAATACTGAAAAAAATCATCAATAAAATGATTTTAATTATAGACTAAGGAAAAATTGTACGAATTTAAATTCATTCATATCTTGAGTAAATTTTATTGTAAACTGACAAACGGTATACGGAAGTGTAAGAATCGTTTCTGTGAGCACAAAGTGAGCGCACCTTTAAATGAGCGACCAAAT